CTGTAGTGTGTTAACAACCTCACGCATCATCACGCATATTCATTACCTTCGTTATACAACCGTTATGTGTTTACTGCCGTACCAAAGAATAATTGCACGTATTTCAAATAGCCAACTTTATGATATCTTATAAATGATAATAAAAATAATATTAAGAATTCTGTAAAAAAAATTATAGGTTGTTGTTTATCTATCAGTGTGATGGATGAGTAAATAAACATGCATTTCAACACAAAGGTCAGTGATATTAAGAACAATTGAGGCCATTTTCACTCTTAGATCTCTCTCAGCATCAATCCTCTTTGGTGATACTTTGTCTTCGCTGTTGTGAGCGCAGAAAAATCGGCCTGACATAGGTGCAGTCGCTTGCACTTACCCCTGGTACTATAGGTGATGCGTTTTGTGAGGTGTGGCAACTCTGTTTGTTTGCATTGTATTAAAACTCCCGGAATGGCCCTAAGGAACCTCGCAATAGTAGTTAGACAAAATGAGAGATGAGCATTCCACAGAGTTGCCACATCTCACAAAACACGCCAGCCACTGTTGGCATCATACCCTAAAGGCTCGCCGAAGTCCAAATACTCTTCCATGACTTGTACCCAGAAATTCACGAGTGGTTTTCGTCTGGGTTGTATTTGCAGTCCCCCGCCAGAAGATAACTCCCGTAGTTGCTAGTGTTTGTGAATTAACAGGTGTGAAACAGGGAGAGAAACTGCAAATGGAATGCGTATCCAGGTCTAAGACGGGTCCCGGGTCAGGGGTCTATCGCTGTCGGCTTAGCTGCTTGAGGCCTTTCACATGTTCATCCAAGAAAATTTCATTTGACTCTAGGATTTAATGTAGTACTGAAAAGCACTGAAGGGAATTCTCATTTACACAGCTTGTCCAGAATGTCTTTTTTTTTATAATTGCTTTGACCTTGTCCTGTGTGCTGAACACTGCGACGCTGATACCCTGGAGACTTAAAATTCAGTTCATTGACAGAAGAAATAATGTCTGCCAGGTATGCTAGTTAGCAGTCTTCTTCGTGCAGGCAAGATGAGTCAAACGGGTTGTCAATAAAATATAGCTGAACTTCCCATCTTAGTCCAAAAAGCCTTGTTAAAACCTTGCCGCGAGACAACCAGCGCACTTTAGTGTAAAGGACAAGTGTCTCATGTTCGCTATCCATTTCGTTGCACACAGTTGTAAAAATCCTTGAATTTAGTGGACGAGCTTTAATGAAGTTTACTATTTTTACCGAATCATTAAACATTGACAGAAACTCATCTTCAGTGGCAAGAGCCTCTCTGTGAACACCTCAGCGTACCCAAGAAACTGATGGAGTGACTTCCCTGATGAGAGATACATGTCCTTTATACTTCCCTGTCATTAACATCGCTCCATCGGTACATATTATAAAGATCACTGAGCCAGAACACAGAGAATAATCACATTAAGAGTCGAGTGATTCCCCCACAATACAACAACGAGATCAACAGAGATGAAAGGTTCGCTATACCATAAAAATACCTAACATTTGTATGGCCCGCAAAACACCACCACTGTTTTATTTTGTATATATTCTAACTAGACACGTTGTACGGCTTTTATCTCCCTCTATTGTCTCCCTCAGTTGCCTACGATCGTGGCGAAAACGGCACTTTGGTTGTGGTGTTATGAATACAAAAGAGACGATGATTCAATTGTTTACTGGCATTGCGGAGAGGCGTAAAATTACACCCCAGTGAGAATGGTGTATAAACGCTCGGATTTAGTACACAAAGAATAAAATAATAAAAATAAAAACGGATTAACGAATACAAAAACAACAACCTTAGAGTACACAATATAGATTAGTACATACTGATGATAATAATGTTTAATACGTCCCTTACGCAGCCTGTGAGTGTAGACAATGGTGCAGTTTAGAGCTAACTCCCTGAAAGTACACATCAATGGTCATCCCTTACGCTGTTGGAAAAATGATGGTGGCATGATTTTTTTTTTCCTGGGTATTCGGCAGTGTTAGGGAGGGCAAGGAATGATTTGAAACTCGATGTGAAAACTTTTAACTCTTCTGTATCTTCACTAAAAGGTATAGTTTCTCTCTGTGAAGATGCCTGGCCGTGGCAAAGTCAAGTGAGAGTCAGAAGTCTGTTGGAAGTTTGCAGAAAGTTGTCAAGAGCAGAGAAGAAGAAACAGCACGAGTTATTCTTTTGTGGAATGGGAAAGTGAGTAAGCTATGTGCATTCTACTTCACCAGGTATATATTATCTCTCTCATCTTCTCTATTCCCACCATACCAAGATACCATCAGGGTTGTTTGCCGTTAGATAAATAACTTAAAATATTACTTACTGCATTGAACTGTGGTGTTGGCTGTCTTGAGGGAACTGCAAGAGAAGTCCATTTGTTTTGGTTAGATGACGGTAGCTTCGAGGAGTGACTGTGTGAGGTGGTACTAAGAAAGCGAGTGTAGAAGAGAGCAGGAATCCTGAAAATGGAGAGAAAGCAGAGTTAAGATTTAATGTGATTTTAAAATGGCACTGAGAATCCTACTCGTATTCAAACGGATAAATCGACATCAAACGCTAGGGATTAAGTTATTGTACTCATGGGATAAGTTATCGTCCTCAAGGTGTTAAATCATCGTCCTCAAGAGGTAAAGTCATCGTCCACAAGAAGTTAAATCATAGTCCTCAAAAGTTTAAGTCATCATCCTTAAGGGGTTAAGTCATTATCTCCCAAAGATTGTCATCATTTCATTAAGTGAGAGATTAAATTATCGTCCTCACGAGGTTAATTTAACAGAATCAGTAAATGCGCGCCAGATATTATTTCAGTGGTTATCGAATTCGCCGTAAAGTGTTTCGTTGTAAAGTAGGTCATTGGCAGGTAATTGACGGTCCATATTCCAATAACTGCAAAACACATCATTGTCAAAATTATAGAACTCGTTATTCTGATCAATTTTTCCTGATCGACGAAGCCGGGAGTAAAAGGAGACATTACCACTATAACCTTATTACAGATACGTTGATGCTTCCAAAATGTAGGCAATTTTCTCTTCATTGGAGAGAATTAGTTTGAAATTGGGACATAGTGTACCATGAGTAAATTAATTTTATATGTTGAGAAATTTTAGAATGATTTGATTTATAATTAGATGTTATTTAGGATAAGATGAAACATTTTAAGAATTTGCTTAACTTCTTTTTTTTTGTTATTAATCAAACTCACCTTCACTTATTAGTTTACTTGTTAATATTTACTACACTTATCTATAATCACCAATAACGCAAAAAACCTAATACAAAAATAAAACACACAAAGATAAATAAATAAATTATATACCAGCAAGAACATTACACACAGAGACAGAGTACAGTCGAGGGTGCCCAGGACTGACTGGACTTAGTAAGTGAGGAGCGATCACGTGCCTGGCTATGTTTATTGATGGGTGTAAAGGGTGTACTTGACAACAGTTGGTTTGTTCGGCAACTCTAACTCTCAGTTGTTTAGTTTGACCGACACAGTATGTACAGTATTTGTTATTTGTATGTATGGTGTTTTTTGTGTTTTTTTTTTTTTTTATGTTTTTAAGTATGTACGGACACTGCCAAGCCCAATAACACGCATATTAGTCTGAGGAAAACGTGAAAGATATTATGTTTACAATATCCTGAAGGTCACAGGGGAGGGTCAAGGCGATAAATGACCTCATTCCCAGTTCTCAAGTAAAGGCGTCGTAGGAAAGCGAAACTCTGAGGGAATATTTCTCCTCCACTTGGAACACCATTGTGACGTTAATAGTTGTTCCTTACACCAGTCAGGGGGAAATTGTAAAACGTTGAAATTGTGTAGAAAATATTTTCTTTTCAGACTGGCGAAAAATAGTAACATCTTATAATTATGAGTTGCCAGGTTACTTTATTCGGGTAGAGTGAATTTACTAGTGGTTACCAGTGAGGTTCAATTGCATGTATTATCCACCACGTCTATGTAACAATTAAATATAATTTGCTCAGGGAGTACAAAATATCTGTATTCTTCATTTATATATGGCGAAAACATACACATTTAGTCCTATATTCTGCGTATACGAAAATGTGTGTATAAACTGTATGTTCATATAATTCGTACATATATAAATATACATTGGTCCATTGAAAAGGGAGGCAGGATTAAAGAGGGGCTGGGATAATCTATTAGATTTACGAGGAGAGAGAGAGATCCTTCACACACACACACACACACACACACACACACACACACACACACACACACAAACTTCATTACCCTTCCTTTACAACACCACTATTCACCTCGCCCTCACACAGCATCTCAACACCCTTCCTTTGTCACACTGCTTTATCTCTCTCATCACCAGCCCGGGGGGGAGGAGGAGCCATCAACCGGGTTCTGTACACTGGAGTGGTTTGACGAGAATTTAGTGAGGAGAGAACACCTTGGTTATCACCTTTGTTACAGTGTATAAGGAGGAATGGCGAGTTGTTTTGTCCACCTGGGTGATGAAAGTTATATTTATCTCGGACGGTATACATTACATACATACAAACATACATACATACATACATTCATACATACATACATACATACATACATTCATACATACACAGGTATATGGTTTTATATATGGTAGATGCGTGTAGACAGTGTGTATGTGTGTGTGTGTGTGTTTAGATATGTATGTGTATAACTGTGTACTTGGATTTAAGGATGAGTGTATGAGCCATGTACTTTATTGACATACACAAGTAATCATACAATTCAGATAATGTTTTGGTTTTAGAATTATAAGTTGCGTTTTTATTATAATTATCATTGTCTGTAACCCCTTCCATATATTCATCACCATAAACTTAAAGGGAACTCTGTAAACTCCTTGACAAGTACGTGTGTAATGGCATTGTACTAAGACATAATATCATTTCTCCCTCTACCCATTTATCTGACATCTTGGGATAATTATTCAGAATTGCTTTCTTTCTCTCCAGGGCCCTTGACTCACTACCAGATCAGCACCAGGTAAGAGGGGGTCGTTGTCTCGTAAGAGGGAATAAGAGAAGAGGGGATCCCACTTCCCTCTTCTTCACAGGGGTAATTTATGATAACAGCTGCCACTTGAGATACCGCTGGTGATGACAATTCTGAGGGTCGTGTTATATTTCTTCACTGTAATTAACACATTATTGAACAACATAACGGGGTGGTTTATCTAATTACAATGTCACTCTCCATATAAATATCTTGGACTTACTAACATAACCTTAACTTATCTAATATGGGGTGAATCTTTTAGTGAGATGGATTTTGTTGTAGTCAAGGATCCTTCATCTTTGTATACTCCTGCCCTATATACGCGCGGATTCTAATTTTCAGGGAGGTGCGTTGATTTGAGCTGATTTGTCTGACAATAGGATACTCATGAGATAACTATAAACTGTAGTGTGAAGAACTCATAAAAAGGTTACTCATATCACTTCAGGCAGAGGGAGAGTCGGTATGTTCGTCTGGTTTAGTATCCATAAGAGGATTTTATTACCTATTGCATTCAGGTTTACGGTATCATCCCCTCTACGTTCGTCTTCTTCATCACCTAAGCTTACGTCCCACTAACACACCCCTCCTCCCCTCTCCTCCCAAGTCATCATCTTCCACCCACCTCAAGACTCCCCTCCCTCCCTCCCTCCCTCCCTCAGTTAGCTTCCATCGACCACCAATCAACTTCCAGCACCAAAGACCCGGAGCCCTCTGATCAACCAGTTAGTTTCTAGCACCAAAGACTCGAGCTCTCCAATCAGCCAATTAACTTCCAGCACCAAAGACCCCAAGCCTTCCAATCAGCCAATCAACATCGCGCTTCAGCCGCCATCATCATCATCATCCTTACGGGAGTCATTACGGGCTGGCGGAGGAAACACCAAAAAGTGTTGATTGCTCCCGCTGGCGCATTCGAGTGCCCGCCCAAGCTGACGATGTTGAGCGTTCAAGCGGGCGCTATTCCGTGCTCGTTTTGGTATTATTAAGTATTGGTGCTGTTGAATGTCTGTATTGGCGCTCTTTCGTGGTAGCGTTGTTGTGTGCTCGTGGTGGCGTCGTTGTGTGCTTGTCCTGACGCTGTTGTCATATTACGAATTTTTACCTCACATGCTACTACGCCATTCCTCAGGGACACAAAACTTGCCGATGTTGTTAAAGAAGAACTAGAACCTTCAACTTCAACGGCAGATCTATAAGTACATGCTAGTTACTTGATGCCGATAAAATATTAAAATTATTTGATGGTGTGTGTTTGTGTGTGTGTGTGTGTGTGTGTGTGTGTGTGTGTGTGTGTGTCCATCCATCACGCACTTTCGTAATCAGTCAAGATGGATAAGAAATTGTACACCGATATTTGCGTGTCCTTGTGAACAATCCCCCTATGTTTTTGTCTCAGAGTTTCTACATAACCAAAACAACAGCTCGATATTGTAAACCGTTAAGTTGTATAAGTTTATGATATCGTAGAAAAACAATAGAAAAGTTATCTTAAACCGATTATTGACTCCGGGAAACCAAACTCGTATGAAAAAAAAAAAACATTCGAGAAAAATATAATCAATCAGGTGAGACATGACGAAAATTGATGTGAGTAAAGACAGTGAAAAAATCTCATAAATTCTGACAATAAAGACCAAAATGACTATAATGGAAAAAAAATAGATAGAAAAATATTATATAATCCAGTATACTATATAACACTATCACACACTATAATTCACTACACTATGTCACACTATCACACTATATCACACTATCACTTCAATACAAAATGTTCCAGGGTAGTTGTATCCATGTAATATCATAATCACGTGTCTCATAATACCGCGCACAACCCTACCATTATATACTGCAAATTAGAGTCTAAACTTTACCTCTTTATCAAAATAATCGCTTGGACCCATTAGCCAAGTACTGCAACAAAAACCAAAAAAAAAATTAGATAAAATAACTTACAAAAAATATATATACAAGAGGATGTTTTAAGAATCTAGTTATTGTCGTTGTGTTGTTAAGGTCGGGTTTATATATCTCTTGGTTTAATGACTCTCTTAAACTCTTGAACTGAAACTCTTGGGAAAAGTAAAACGTCTGGGTTTATGGGTTTGGTCTTTACCTCGAGTATGTACGTGTGTGTATTGTCAACTTTGGGTGTTTCTGAACCAGGTGTTCCCCAGGGTCCATATGTGTGTGTGTGTGTGTGTGTGTGTGTGTGTGTGTGTGTGTGTGTGCCAGACTGGACCCATAACAACCCAGAGAGTTTATATATCAAGTAATTTATGATGATTGATCAATTAGTGTTATTATAATTTATTAACCTCATACGTTTTAAGGATCTTTAGTTGTTGAAGAGTAGTAGTACCATGACCACTCCCTTCCAGCCTTGTGACTAAACTATTGCACACTCCGTCAGCCAAAGCTTAACACCCAAGGTCATTTTCGCCTAAATGAAGCAAAAAATATCCCCCAAATGAGGTGATTTTTCGTGTCCAAATGAAAGTTTTTCACCCAAATAAAATGCGCCCGAGACATATTATCCAAATCTACTTGTGTTTCTATATAAATACCTGTAGTTGTGATTGTACAGATGTGCGTGTGTGTGTGTGTGTGTGTGTGTGCGTGCGTGCGTGCGTGCGTGCGTGCGTGCGTGCGTGTGTGTAAACCATTGTAAAATGTTGTAATAGAATTATTTTCCTAATACATGAATTTTAGGACGGACATCACCAACAACTCATACACGCAGGGAAGTCATCTCTTGACATGACTTAATATATCCGTATAAACCACTTCAAAGGTTATAGCCAGGTAAACAAACTGTATCGGAATCCTTTAAATGCTAAAGTGTGTGTGTGTGTGAGTGTGTGTGTGTGTGTGTGTGTGTGTGTTTATCAATAAAATTCAAACTTCACCTCTAAGCAAAAAATCACCTTTACACTCTGAACTATTGTGTGGACTTCGTGACCTTCAACAGCACAACCCGTAATTAATACTCGTAGCCATAATGATAAAGGGATATTCAATAAGTTTTACACTTCGTATTTATATAATTGACCGTAGTATTTATTATTTTGCTCAAGTAACTATATTGATCTCACTAGGGGTTGACCGAGGAGGTGTGTGGGGAGGAGGGGGTGTGGGAGGAGGGGTGTGTGGGAGGAAGTGTGTGGGGAGAGGGGGGTGGGAGAGGGTGTGGGGAGGAGGGGGTGAGGGGAGGTGTGGGGAGGAGGGGTGTGGGGAGAGGGGGTGTGTGGGCGAGAGGTGTGGGGGGGAGGGGTGTGGGGCAGAGGGGGTGTGGGCAGAGAGGGTGTGGGGGAGGGGTGGGGAGAGGGGGGTGGGGGGGAGAGGGGGTGTGGGGAGAGGGGGTGGGGAGGAGAGGGGTGTGGGAGGAGAGGGGGTGTGGGGAGGAGAGGGGTGGGGAGGAGAGGGGTGTGGGAGGAGAGGGGTGGGGGAGGAGAGGGGTGGGGAGGAGAGGGGGGGTGGGGAGGGAGGGGTATGTGGGGAGAGGTGTGGGGGGAGGTGGGGGTGTGTGGGGGGAGGTGGGGTGTGGGGGAGGTGGGTGGGGGGAGGTGGGGAGGTGGGTGTGGGGGAGGTGGGTGGGGGGAGAGGGGTGTGGGAGGAGATGTGTGTGGGGGGAGAGGTGTGTGGGGGGGGGAGAGGTGGGGGCGAGAGGTGTGTGTGGGGCGAGAGGGGTGGGTGTGGGAGAGGGGGTGGGGGAGGGGTGGTGGGGGAGAGGTGTGGGGAGAGGTGTGGGGGGAGAGGTGGTGTGTGGGGGGAGAGGGGGTGTGTGGGGGGAGGGGGCTGTCGCTTGTCTTTTGTTTTCATTTGTTTACCTTCTGACTTCCTAAAATTCTCCTCGAACTTGAGAAGGTATGTGTTCATCAAGAAGGAATTTGAACAAAAAGAGAGGAGAGGAAGAAGGGGAGGAGGAAGAAGGGAGAGGAGTGGATAAGAGAGGAGAGGAGAGGGAGAGGCACTGGTACACCCCTCGCCACTATAAACCCAGATCATAATTTTTGTTCTCCAATATCGAGGTTGCCAGGTAATGCACAACACAATTCCGGAAGTAATAAGAACTATGTAGGAGCCTCAGGGTCTTCGAGGACACACCATTATTATTTTTTCATCATTTAAAGAATTCCAATACATTTTATCCGGCAATACAGTGAACCCGGATACAGCTGGTGAGGTGATGTATGATGATAAAGAATATAAAAGACTGGCTCCAGCTAGCAATTGCCCTTGATTGCATTTGTGCAACAAAATGAAAAATATTGACTTGCAACTAAATTATGTTTAGAAATATGTCTACCAGGAGACTTCGTTATTGATTCTAGATGCTTTCCGTTACACAGTAGTCGGACATCAATGCAATAGTGTAATAAAGTAAATAACAATAAACATCAAAGTCAAATGTATGTCGTGAAAAGATTTGCAACAAGAAAATTTCACAGCCACGATTATAGAGTAAAAATATCTAGCAATACCCGACTGAGAAAATGTGGATGGTAACTGTATGCAGAGTTATCCCTTTGAAATAACACTGATGATGCCATGTAAGATGATGTCTATATTAAGGTGTTAGCCGATTTGTAAGGGATTTCTTATGGCGAGGAAAATTTGATCGAAAATTCTCATACTCGGATTACTAGAACTGTTTGAGGAAATATGATGGTTAGATTTGTCTCTCCCTCTCATCTTTCTCTCTCTTTGTCTATCTCTCTATACTTCTTTTTCATAACTATCTATCTTTACTTTTCTTTCTTTCTCTTCTACCATTTATTCTTTCTCATTCTCTCACTGTCTCTCTATTTCTCTTTCTTAACCCAATCACTGTTTAGCTCTCTTCCACCTTCTCTCTTTTTTACTCACTCTCTTTTCCTCTCACCATCGCCTTTCTTCTCCTCCTCTCATAAACGCAACATCAGAACACACCTCACCTTTCAACTCGAGTTAATCTACCCGACTATGATAAAGACCTTCATAAA